ACACTCAGCACAGTCAACAGACAGAGACCATTGTAGATTATATTCGGGGCTAAGCTGATCAAACAAATCAGTTGAATCTGATTCATTTTTCAATTTGCCTGGTAAGTGAAAAACAGAACACTCATCTGGGCAAGAAATATTTTTAATTTTCATGGCATAATATATATCGAAGTATTGGCAAACTGTGTACTTTCTGTAATAATCCGGGAAATAAGGTGTCCAATTTTTGGCGCATTTAAACAAAGTGATATTAGGTAAGACTGAAAAAGAAATAGAAGGCGAGCCCTGAATAGAGTAATTGTTGAACAGAGCGCAGCTCTTACTTTTCAAAAGACCTTCAATAGTAGGGTTCCTAATCCTGAATACATGGGTAGATATCTTGGACAGAATCTCCCTGGACGATGAAATCCCTTCATATTCCAGGTAAACTAATGGATAAGGAATTGCATCGCACTGAACCCTGAACAATCCACATTCAGGTTGCGTATAATTGGATAGAGGAAACTCCAAACGGCCAAGATGTCCACACTGGAAAGACTTTTGGCATTTAGAATAGATTAAGCGTAGATTAAGCAGATAAAACAGAGAAAAATAAACAGGGAAACTATAGAGCTCCCTGTAAAAAGCCATGCCTAACAACAATGGAAAGAAAGAAGAATAGGATAGAAATCAAAGTCTCTCTCAGTTCTATAGATGCGGTTGAACAGAGCAGTTGACTTGGAAATGTTTTCATGAAGACCAGGATCAAGACAAATGGGTTTTTCTACGGACAGGGCCAACCGTCCCCACGGGGGCGCCACGCCCCTGGGGTCTGCGCATCCCAAGATTATTCTTCTTGAATAGGGCCACCTGACGCCCCTGTTCGAAGAGGTGGCCCATTCAAGTAGCATGACTCTAATCTCAAATGAGCAATGTTAGAGTTACATCAATTTTGACATTAATTTTGACAGTCCTCTCACATACATTTGGTGAGGTCCATAATTAAAATAATCGTGACCCCACCCATGAAAGAGGGCTGTTAAAATTGCTGTACAATTTTAAATGTACATTAAGCATTTTTGAATCCCAAATAGAATATGAAAGCAGATGTTGGGTTGAAACAATCATGGGCAGTGCCAGGCGGCTTTGCAGAGTGGAATAACCCAACAATCATTCACTTGCATAAATTTTGGACTTACCTAATCTTATTGGAATCTGAAAAGGACCTGACGTGAAGGCATAGAAATCTGACTGGTTTGACCATTTTGTCATTAGTTCAAAGGACAGATCAATAGCGGTTACAAATTTATATTTATATATAAATAATTTCACTTGTATGAAATTCAAAGAATCAAAAAACTAATAAGATATTTTCTTTCAGATTTTTTGATGGACAGCCAAATATATAATTCATATATGGAAAAAATACATTTCTAATGTGTTTACTTTACCCCTTTTCAAAAATACCAAAACAAGTTCCAAAATTCTCAAATCAGATTTTTTAATTTTTTATTTATGAATTAATAAATTATTAAATCAATTTATTATTAAATATTTAATTCTAATATAATATATTTATCCCACCCTACCTCCACCACCTCTACTGCTCCGGGGACTATTCCGCTACCGTTCCGGTCACAACTCATCTTAGGCGACTGTTCCTACGACTGCTCCGATTCCGACGACGATTCCGGCAAGTGTTCCAACTCTGGCAAAATTTTTAAGTCACAAATCAAAATTTTCATAGGTCACAATTTGTTTATCGATCACAACTTAAAAATTTAAAAAGTCACAATTTGTTCATCGATTACAGATCACAAAATTTATAAGTCACAATACTTATTTATGGTCACAAACATCACATTCATTGAATATAAATTATATTTAGGTCACAATTTATCAAATTATTGGTCACAAATTAAT